AAGTACTTTAAACTGTATAAATAATGTAAAATTAAATAGACTTAAACAGCCAATCATACGAAAGTCTTCCTATGGGATACTGGGGTAGTTTATAATGCACCAAAAAAACTTTAAGTTCATTAAGGTTAATATATATGATAGGGTTAGGCGTTAACACGTACATATAACAAAGTTGCTCAAGGAAATCTTTTTCTGAAAAAATGAGGCACTCACTATTGGGTAAGCTACTATCGATCCTCACATGATAGTAAAATTTTGACGACGATGCCAGGGTAGTTTACTGGAGTAGCTCAAAAATCTTTCAAGGTTATATGCATACGATTAAAACAGTAAAATCCTAAATGTGAACAAAACTTATACTTCTAAATCATGTCATGGAAATTTGGTTACCTATGGTGTATTTCGATTATATAATCTTGAATATATCAAAAACAATAAAGGTGCAATTTTAAAAGGAAATGTTTGCAAAAGGTGTGGTTATATTATACTGATTGATTTGTAAGCATTTAATAGTATTCATACATCAATCAGTGACCATATCTTAGTTGCACGAGCTTTCATTTCTAACCCGAGAAATAAATCTTGCGTTAATCATATTAACGGCATCAAACTTGATAATCGGACTGTTAATTTGGAATGAGTAGTTCTTAGAGAGGAAAAACCAATTGATCACAATTCTAGCCAGCCAATGTTATCACCTTATTTCAAGTTTTATATTAGTGATCCGGAAGTTGCATTTGGTTCGGAACTCTATACGTATGTATGTACGTACATGCATTATGCTTAAGGTCATGTAAATAAGTTATTGTTGCGTAGCATTTAATGACCATCAGAATGACACGAGTTTTTTGGTGGTGACTTAGCAGATGTCAAAATGGAGAATGGACTAGGAAAACCACCATTGGACATTTTCAAACAGTGATTTTCCAAATACAAATTGTTCTGACGGTCCGATCATGGTAAGCTATCAGATGATTGACGTTGACCTTCCAATTTAATTGGTGGAAAATTAAAACAAAAGCTTTAGTGCACGATCATAAAATATTTATCATGCAACTACCTAAACTTACCGTCACGACCCAACCATTTATATCGGTTAAGTAGAGATTCTACGTACAATTGGATGTGATTGATCGTGTTATATTCTCTAAGTATAGACAATGTGATTCATGCGTGGAAAAACCAATTAAAAAAATTAATCATTAGATGATATCAATTACATTAATAAAAGTGGATTTAATCATAGATCTAAAATAACAAACTTGATCGTCCAAAAGACATCAGCATTCATGCGTCATTATGTTTGCGATGCTTTGAACACCTTTGAAATTATTAATGTAAAATGCCGAATTCCGTTTGTTCACATAACCAAGAAAAGTGTATAAAAGCACAGATTAATTTGTTCCCTATCTTCAAAATATCTCAGTTAACTCGAGTACCACGTAATATATATATATATATATTTTTTTTTTAAAAAAAAAAAAAGATATATTTCCTAATTATAAAACAATGCATGAGAAGAAATTCATAATTACTTTATTGATTCACACGTTCCTAATCTACACCATTACCGCCCAATTGCCCGTACCCACTACGCCAGGTACGGGCGTACTGCCAGGTGTTGGCGGAATGTCACCAATGGGAATACAGGGTAGTGGAAGGGGAATACAAGGTACTGGAAGAGAACGACCACAAAGGCATCCATTTGGGGATAAGAGGTTAGGAAACCCACCACAAACAGCTCCTCAACCACAACCAAATTCACCAATAAGTCAGCAACAACAACCCAACCCGCAAACAGATCAACAACAACCCAACTCACCAGTAAATCACCAACAACCTAATCCGTCAAAAGCATCACCAGTTCCGAATGTTAGCCCGAATGGAGTCGCTGATCAGAACGCGCATAAAACACATGAGACAGAAAATGCAAAACAGACGTCCAGTCCTTCTACAAACTCTGTCAAGCATTCTAATTCGCCACAAGGTGATAGTGACCCGCGTCATAACGAAACTACCGCATCGAATGGAGGTTTTAAGGATGTGGGTTGTGACGGGTTAACGACGGGAATTGTAACAATAATAATGATGTGTTTGTGGATTTATGGAGTGGTTTGAAAGATTGAATAGATTAAATAATTATAATAACTATAATGAAAAGGATTTTTATTATCGTTTCGCGGGTTTTTCTTTCTGTTTTGAAAATAGTCTGATAATTTTTCTTTGTGAATTATGTGAATTACATGTATGATGTCACGTGTACAATGAATAAAAAAAAAATCCCCAAATTGCTAGCACAATGCGTTTTTTTTTTATTATTGTTATTGATGGCATGTTGACACATCCCACAGCATATTGTACAAAAAAATATGGTTATATTTACTGTATACTCTGCAATACACATTCACAAGTTTATAAAGTAACTAGATTATTTCTAATTAATTTTATGTAATAAGTGTTGTAAATGCAGTCTTTTTTTTCTTTTTTTTTTTGCACGTTATATAACACACATGTATATATATGCTTATAATATGCTTTTTCTTTTTTCCAAACATGGAATCAAATGATGACATGACGATTCAATATAAGGAATAGCTTACATTATTTTCAGTAGATGT